GACCGACCGCACGCACATTTTCATGCCCAAAACAGTTCCAGAGATTTGAGCTGTGCGGCCAGTCTATTCATTACAATTCAAATGCCGTTCCGTTCGTGCAAATAGGTAGTGTTACTGTGGTGTTCTAGTGGTCGAACACTGTTTGACTCCATTTGAATGTAATAGTTCCAGGGAAGATAAAACTTCAGCGGTGTTCGTGCCATCGAGTAGCCGATTTCAGTTCCATGAACTCGATGGCAAAACACAGCTGACCATGTTTGGCTAAATTAAAATGGCCGCCGCCACGTGTTTGTTTTTCGAATGGCGGCCACTTCGACTACTTCGGCACTTCGACTGCATCCGAAGTGCCATATAAAAAGTGCCAATCCATCCCCACAGTATTTAAAGGGCCAGAAGCAGTCTAAATAAAGTCCATAGGCCGAAATAATGTTCTTAAAGGGAAAACTCTCTCAGGTGCCATAGTCAAAAGGCAAGAGGCTGGCAATTAGTCCTCTTCAGGCTCAAGTGGCGAAGGGCACTTCGTCACACCAATTTTCTAAAATATCTTTGTAACCTTTAAGATTAAGATTACCATTCAGTGAGATTGAGGACTTTACCCCAAATCCTGAAAAACAGCTCGGCTCTCCTCCATCAAATTTTACAGTAGTCACTATACATTCCATTAGGTAGCCATATCCATATTCTTTCATCAGACTGCCAGATTTTGAAGTGTTTCATCACTGCTAAAAACACATTGCAGTGTGCTTTACACAACTTGATGTGAAGCTTGAGTGCAGTTGACAGGCCATGGAAATCCATTTCATCAAGCTCCTGACAGAGCTCTTTTTCTGACTTTGCTTCCACTGGCAATTTGGTCCTCTGTATTGAGTAATACAATAGATGATAGACAATTTTTTCAGAGTAATGCCCCTTCAGAACTTAGACCCCCTGCTCTATGAGTTTGAGTGGTCTACCATTGGACTGTTGGTACTAGGTACTTCCAATTCTCAATAATAGCACTTACAGTTCACTGAGATAGGACAAAAATGTAATGAATCGACTTGTGTCAAAAATGGCATCCTGATAGCGTCACATTAAACAGTACTGAGTGTTTTGGTATGATCCATTGCACTACCACTGATATTATGCCTTTATTATAATTGTAATAGTCTTACATAATAAGCTATAATAGCAGAACAAAACTGTAATACTCTTGGCTAAAATGTATTCATCTAAAATGTTCAATATAATACTGAGATTAAAAATAGAAGTGGAGGTTGTGTAAATTACATTAAGAGCAAGATATCCTTTCTAGTGAATAAGGGCATACAGGGTTACAATTGTCTAATGGTCTGTCAATGACCATTGTAAAGATAATCTATCATCATTGTGCTGTAATTACATTTAAGCACATATTTAATTATTATAGTGTCATTTTCCTTTTTAATTAGATGCCAATTTGCATGACTTTTTTAAAAAAAAATTTCATTGCTGTTCTAAAGATATATAGTTTTTGGCTTGGCTTGGATGAATTAAGAAAGGGGCTAATGTAGCTGCAATGTCAAGCCCACCTAGAACAAAATGACATATTTCTTCACCTTTGCTAGTGGCTTTCAGCAATCTTTAGAATTTTTAAATAACCTCTTTCAAATTAACTCACTTCATTTTTACTAAAATCAACACATTTTAAAAACATTTATACACAAGGATATTTGAGTCAGGAAAAGAGCACATGTTTGTTTTTAATAAACAGCCTAAAGACTTGGAGAATGCTAACACATATATGTCAGCCCAATAAAGGACTTATATTAAGACATTTCTTTTTTGGAAAACACAAACCTCCATAGTACAATAGTAATGAAAAAAAAAGTGTGACACTAGTCTTCCTCATTCACCTACACTAGAGGGCACTTGGGACAACACCCCACAAGTTATGTGTGTAAAAAAAAAAATTGCAGAAGTTCAGAAGCACTAGGATTCTTTTTCTGAAAGAAATAAAGATGAAAGTGAGTGGAGGCATCCTATTGACTTATCTATTCAGAAGCCATTATTGGCTAATAGGACTGTATGTCATGTGTGCTGTCATGCTACAAATAATTCTGGATTTATGGTGATATTTATTTATTATACTTGTCACGAGCGTGGGCTATAGGCCCAGCCGAGACAGTGAGGAGAGTGTGGAAGTGACAGGGTTAATGACACCAGACCCCTGGTTACCTGTTGCTAGTCCCAGCAACCACTCAATTAACCCCTGCAATCCCTTCTACACTATCCCCCTTAGTACTACTGCCACCACCAAGACTTTTAAACCCGGGCGTCTTAGGTTACCCCACACACAGGAGAATTATAGTATCACAGTTCTACTTTTACTGATAAAACATATATAGTTAACCCTTTTTGGTAACGTGTTTACCTGAGCTTTCCTCTGGAGAGTGAAGCTCATAGAGAACAGAGACACAAGCTGATTAAGTAAACATTTAATCTGACAAAAGGATTCACAGTGCTGAGTACAAAATACAGAAATAAATGACATACAGATAAACAAATTGCAAAACAGTACATAAAATAAAATAGGAGAAAACACAAGAAATTCCTTACATATATTTACCCCATATAGAATTCTTGTGGGAGTCTTAGATGGTATAGGTCTCCTAGAAGTTACTGACAAAAAGAAAAATGAATAACTGACCTCCCTGGATAGTCCAACAACCTCATATAGCTAAACTAGTTGTTTCTCAGTGGGCAGACCCCTGGGGGGGGATCAGAGGGGGCTGGTCTGGCAGTCTATTGCCCACTCTATGAAATTCCTTGTGTCCAGCTCTGGTGATGGCTATCTAGATGTTTTATGGTCTAGGCCTGGTGCAAGATCAAAGACCACAATAAATGTCATCCCAAGGTTTACAAAAAAACAACTCTTAACATATATAAACACACATCAAACACCAACTCATGCTTTTGGCATGACACCTCCCCCTTAAGATGGTGGACAGAAAAATTCAGCCACAGGCTGATTTATCTGTCTACCATTAACCCTCTAGTTGCCGAGACAGGCCATCTGTATTCCCATGCAAGCTGCCTTTTTTTTTTTTGCTGGGCAGTGAAATTATACTGTTGGAGGATAGGGCTCCAATGGAGCAGTTTATCAGTGTTACCGGTCACCTGCAGCAGGTTGTGATCAGTCCATACCACAGCTACACCCTCAACAAACATGCCTGATTTGCCTGTTTCAATTTCCCATCGATCTCTGGTAACATCCCTTAAACCACACCCACTGCGCTCATGTAGTAGCTGTAAGGGGAAGAAACCAATGGATTTCTGCAGCACTCCCCGGTAAGCACACAAAAAAGCAGACAGAGAACACCCCCAGGATAGATGCACTGTATCAACACCCATCATCTCTTTTATTTTGCGGTCTGTCTGCTGGGCTTGTTGCACTATCAGACTCTGAACCTTTGGTTCACAATCAGAAAGTTGCTTAGGTGTATGCGTGAGTTGTGATAAACTGACAAGGTTCCTGGTTCCTCCAACAGTATGTTTCCCTGCAGCCATCCTTCCTGGACCCACAAGCTGAGTCTGTCTGTGCCCCTCACTTTCACTCCGGGTCATCACACATACCGAACTTTGGAAACTGGCTAAGTCTGGCGCAGAGTAAAGCTCACACACCCTCTGTCCTCCCTCATAGCCTTGCTGTCCCTTCACATTTTCACCCACCACATCACATACATCTGCTTCAGGCACATATTGGCACATATATTCATTCAGGCCCCTCTCGCTGGAAGGCTTTTCCCATATATTTTCACAGGACACATTTGACCCCCCTTGATCAGATACAGAATTTTGCACACACTCGCATAATTTCTTCTCCAAGGCAGGCCATCCTCTCGCAATCTCACATAGCCCCTCAGACTCTGCAGCCGTGACCCACTGCTGACTTGTTACCCTGGCTCTCACCTTCCTCCTCTCCCTTACTCTCTGACATCCCAGCCTCACAGTATTTTAATACAGGCACATCACTACTCACCCCTATCTCACATTTGGTAGACATCACTGGTTCAGTTACAGGTAGATCTTTATCCACACCCTGCTCTCCCTCCCAGCAATCACACTTCACAATGTCTCCCAAAGTTTCACACAATACCTTAGGTGGAGCAGTCAGCCCTTCTGGCTCACAAACAGTGTCCGCTGGAGCATAGTGACAGAGCATCCTGCCCAAATCATTCCCCAACAGAACATTAACAGGGATATCCTCTGAAATCCCCACTTCCCGCAAACCTTTGCCCGCACCCCAATCAAGGTACACACGTGCCAAGGGCACAGCGGGGCATACACCCCCAATTCCTTTGATGGACATGGTTCTTCCAGGGATTATGTCCTCCGTATTCACCACTTCAGGTCGCACCAGGGTGAAGGAAGCTCCAGAATCTCTCAGTCCCATGGTCACTCGGTCACCCACAATTACACTCTGCAGGTTATCCTCTTGTTTCCCCACGGACCCACCCACAAGCAATACTGATGGTGCCCCTCCACGGACTGGTGAGGGCATATTCCTAGTGGGGCAAGTCCTGCTCAGATGACCAATCTGGTTGCATCGAAAACAATGGCGGGCATCTGACTCACTTGACATAGCCCCGGCTACGCTGGCAGTCGGCGGTGAAGTTCTCACTGCAGATCTTACAGGTGGTGTTTGAACTGTAGCTTCTCTCCAGGTCGAAGTAGCAGCTGACACAAGTCCACGCCTGGATGTGGGTGCATGGATGTCGGCATAGTCATCTGCCAGTTCTGCAGCAGCCCTAGCATTTTTTGGCTTTCTTTCCAAAATCCACTCTCGTACATTAGGGCTCCGGGTCTGCAAGAACTGCTCCAGGACCATTAAGTCATTAAGGGCTTCATAGGTAGTAGCTTGTACTCCTGTTACCCATTGCCGGAACGTGGTTTCTAATTGTGCAATATATAGAATGCAGCTGGATGATGGGCATTGCTGCATACTCCTAAACTTTTTCCTGTAAGACTCAGGAGTAAGGTTAAAAGTTTTTTTGCAATGCAGATTTGATTGCCTCATAGTTGTTATCAGTCTCTGGGGGAAGGGACACAAACACATCCAAGGCTTTCCCTTTCAGTTGTGGAGTTAAATATCTGCCCCACTGGTCTGAGGGTAGTTGATGCTGCCTGCATACTTTCTCAAAACTTTTTAAGAATACATCCAAATCTGTCCCTTCTTCGAGGGAAGGAAAATCATCCTTACGGAGCCTACGTGTGCTGGACTCTGATGCATTGCTGTTCAGTGAGGACTGAAGGGTAAATTGCAGTTTAGCAAGTTCCAGCTCATGTCTCCTTTGTGCCTCCCTTTCTGCAGATTCCCTTTCTGCAGCCTGCTGTTGGATCATCACATGCAGGGCCTCCTGAGGATTTGCAGCCATCAGTTGCCGAAATAAATCAGTTGAGCAAATGTCCTTAATGTTTTGAGGGGTACAACCACCAGGCATTTCAGTAAGCAACACTCCTGCAGTAGTAGGGAGCTCGGTAACCCTTTCAGTGTCCGTCTCTGGCTGGAAAATATGGCTGTCAGCCTCCACAAGGTCAGCAATAAGTTGTGCCTTATTTTTGCCAAAAGTTGGTAAATTCTTTTCTTGGCACAACAATTCCAAGGCCTCTTTTGATTGTTTGCGATAGGCCTCCATATTCACAAATAGGATAGAGAAAGAAAAACAAAAGATGGGAGGGGAGAACTGTTTTGCACTTTGTATGTATTTTAAATCAGCACTGAGCTTGGTCTTTGGAAATTACACAAAAACAAGTATGCAATTTCTTTTAGTGCTAAGACCCCCTTTACAGGTAAAATCTAGCAAGCACTAAAAATCTCTAAATATATCCCACTAGCTGCCGCCAGTTTGTCACGTGCGTGGGCTATAGGCCCAGCCGAGACAGTGGGGAGAGTGTGGAAGTGACAGGGTTAATGACACCAGACCCCTGGTTACCTGTTGCTAGTCCCAGCAACCACTCAATTAACCCCTGCAATCCCTTCTACACTATCCCCCTTAGTACTACTGCCACCACCAAGACTTTTAAACCCGGGCGTCTTAGGTTACCCCACACACAGGAGAATTATAGTATCACAGTTCTACTTTTACTGATAAAACATATACAGTTAACCCTTTTTGGTAACGTGTTTACCTGAGCTTTCCTCTGGAGAGTGAAGCTCATAGAGAACAGAGACACAAGCTGATTAAGTAAACATTTAATCTGACAAAAAGGATTCACAGTGCTGAGTACAAAATACAGAAATAAATGACATACAGAAAACAAATTGCAAAACAGTACATAAAATAAAATAGGAGAAAACACAAGAAATTCCTTACATATATTTACCCCATATAGAATTCTTGTGGGAGTCTTAGATGGTATAGGTCTCCTAGAAGTTACTGACAAAAGAAAAATGAATAACTGACCTCCCTGGATAGTCCAACACCCTCATATATCTAAACTAGTTGTTTCTCAGTGGGCAGACCCCTGGGGGGGGATCAGAGGGGGCTGGTCTGGCAGTCTATTGCCCACTCTATGAAATTCCTTGTGTCCAGCTCTGGTGATGGCTATCTAGATGTTTTATGGTCTAGGCCTGGTGCCAGATCAAAGACCATAATAAACGTCATCCCAAGGTTTACAAAAAAAAACAACTCTTAACATATATAAACACACATCAAACACCAACTCATGCTTTTGGCATGACACCAACGGTTTCTTTAAATGCAATAGATGTATAGTCTGTAAACGTACTAGTGACGGTATTAAATCTAAAACTATATCGTTTTCATCTACAATGACACAGAAAACATATCAGATTAAACATTTTATTCACTGCAAAACTAGAAATTTAATTTATCTTTTAGAATGTCCGTGTGGGCTTCAATATGTTGGTATGACTACTAGAGACTTAAAAAAAAGATTAGCTGAACATTATAGAAATATCTTAACAGGCTATGAGAATCACTCAGTCTCTAAACATTTTCTACAACACGGAAAAAATCCAAAATACCTTAAATGTATAGGCATAGACACCTGCAATGTCCCATGGAGAGGTGGAGACATTAAAAAAGTTTTAGGCAAAAAGGAAATGGAATGGGCATACAATTTAAAAACCCTTGCCCCTACTGGTCTTAATATTGATTTTGATCTTTTTATTTTTTTGTAATTTTTTTTAATTAATAACAACTCATAATTTTTTATAACATATAACTATCTCTAATTTTATTCATTTTTCTTTTATTATTCTCTATTATTTTTTATTGTTATTTTAACATATTGTAAAGTGCTGGTATGTTTATAATTTACTACTCTTATGTAATTTTTATGCATTTTACCCAATAGTTTTTACTTTATTATAAGTTTGTAAAATTAGTGGTTTTATGTGTTTAAGTCTTCTTCCTATTCTCCATACTGTCAATATGAGTGCACTGTTTAGAGAACCATGATGTCCCTCACGAAGTTTGAACCTGTGTAGGGCCGGCTGTCTGCCTGCGTGTGCATGCAGACAGCAAACCTTATGTGTTATAGCTGTGGCTGTCTGCCTGCTTTTGCAGACGGACAACCTTATCTTTTGTTCCCCTGGTCTGCTCGGGCAGCCCCTCCCCTTATATCACTCTGGATGACGCGTGCGTTCCACTTAGTCAGAACGCATGCGTTCCACTGAGCGTCACGTGACGCGGAAGTGTTTTCAATCGCGCGTCACATGATCGCTCTTTTTTAGTATTTACATACATTTAAAATCTTCGTTTTATTATTTTAATCATTGCATTTACCTTATGTCAATCTGTATTCATGTAATAATCACTGTTTTAACTATTTAAAATTATGTTGTTTTTGATGACTTCAATTTGGCGGGAATTTTAAATCTATAGTATTACTATACCTTATATAAACTCTTGTATGTCAGGGCATTGAAGAAGCCCGTCAGGTGAAACGTGTTTAGATATTGTTCCTATTACTTTATAATAAAGAAATTTTATTGGCATAAAATACTTTATTGCCATTTTCTTTCTTTTTTTCTACCTGACCATACATACATTGTATATTTTACAAGAAGTTCAAAGAATCCATAGGTGGGGATTATACCACCTAAGCGCTTAGACCGAGCAGTTCAAGCCTGCTCTATATTACGTGAGTAGTATATTTTATACTTTTTCAACTTTGAATTATAATACAGAGAGCACTATATATTTTATCCTTCTCTCCTGGGTCCTAATACACTAATTTGGACGTTGAACCTACGCCAGATATACACCTATCAAACCTTACTCCACATATGCTTGAGTGGGGATTATTCCACTTTATGTGCGCAATATCAGAGCTGGATTTTAGCTCTGAAAAGAGTAAGACTATTTTTACTACTTTTTTATTTTACTTACCTATATACTGTGCCATTGGAGTCCTGTTTTATTTTCTCTCTCTACATATGCTCCACTGAATTTCAAGCATATAATCGTGAAGACTTGATCCCATTCAGCACCCTAAGAATTTCTTCTTTACACGTGGGACCTACCATTACGGACTGTGATAAGTTTTTTGGACTATTGCCAATCACTTATTTTATTTTAATATTTTATTATACTTTTATTTATGTATATGTTATTATTATATATTTATATATTTTAGCGCACCCTTATTTTATTGTTTGTTTTGTATTCCTTTTTACTATTAGGGGATTAGTGGGGACTCCCCTTTGAGGAGTGCAGCCTTCTTATTTATATTTTGTGTGGCAATTTAGCGCTGATTTTCTTCTTTTGTTTTTGTTTCTACCCAAATGTCGGTCCTGGCACATCACAACCGACTTATATCATACCCGACTTATCCCATATTCAATACCGTTACTCAGCTTATTGTCCCCGACTACAAATATAAAGACATGGCCTGTAATTGTGGGAGGGGTTACCAGGCTATATAAACTTGGGCCACCCCTCTCACTGGGCCGTTCACGCCTGGTTCAGCCCACCCACAGCTCCCCTATCTCAAACAAATCATTTTTGGTAGGCCCTCTTTATTTACAGGCCTACCCGAACGTCGGTCCCGGCACACCACAACCGACTTATATCATACCCTACTTATCCCATATTCAATAATGTTACTCGGCTTAATGTCCCGACTGCAAATATATATATTTATATTTATATTTATATATATATATATATATATATATATATATATATATATATATATATATATATATATGTATTTGGTATATATATATACACACCAAATAATATTTATATATATATATATATATATATATACATATACACACCAAATAATAATAATTATATATATAAATATATATATATATAGATATATACACACATGTGATGGACACCTCCGCCAACGGATGCTCCTAGCGCTGCTCAAGGACCATCAACACAGCACTTGACACCATAGGCACCGCAGACTCTACGAACCGCCGTAGCTTGGTTGGTATCTCGTCGTCCCCTCCAAGGGAGTATAGCTGGGTCTCTCCTCCAAGAGAGTATAGCTGGGGCTCTCCTCCAGGAGAGTATAGCTGAAGAGAGAGAGAGCTCTTACAAGAGCTGGTAGTGATATAGCTGTTCCCTACAACAAAAGACTAGGCTAAAAGTTGTGGATAAGAAGATCTTGTTTATTGAGTGCAAGGGGCATTTCTTTTATACAGTTTTCCCAACAAGGTTACCACCCACGTGGACCTTGTTGGGCACTGACAACACAAATCCAACAACCAATCATTCACAGACACACAGTTTAGCACTCCCATTTATTACTGTAAAAGTCCTTCCCTCTGCTTGGGAGATAATTGGGAGATAATTATCTCCAAGCGAAAAATATATTTTTTATACAATTTTTATAACTCCAAAACTATACATGCAATATTACATGCAATATTAATAAAAGTTACATTTTCTAAACCAAAAATCATGCGAATTGGTCCAGTGTTTCGGGAGATAGCTGGAAGTCCCATTTTAGCCGGTCTATTTCCCATGTTAAGTTAGTTCAAATAAGCGAACGGCAACCGTTCATGCAAAAGTCAATGTTAAAGTGCCGTTCGAATTGTCAAACGGCGTTCGACTCCAGTCGAATGAGTTGAAGTCTGGAGAAGGTAAAATTCAGCGGTGTTCGTGCCGTTGCGTATCCTATTTGAGTTCCATGAACTCGACGGCAAAACACCACTGAATGCGTTCAACTGAATTAAAATGGCGTGTTCGTTTGTCGAATGGCTGCTTCTTTCCCAGAGGATTTAAAGGGCCAGAAACAGTCTTTTAGCATCCAATATACACAGATGAAGTTTTTAAAGGGCAATACACCCCAGGGGCCATAGTCACAAGGCAAAAGGCTGGCCATTAGTCCTTTCCAAGCATAAGTGGCAAAGGGCACTTCGTCACAATACATATATATATATAAATATATATAGAGAGAGAGAGAGAGAGAGAAAGAGAGAGAAAGAGAGAGACATCAAATAATAATATTTTGGTATATCACTGATATATATATATATATTTCCTGGCCATATCTATGGCAGCACAACAATGGGCAGCTCCTCCCTATTCCTAATTAAACAGGAACTAATTAAAAGAATGTATAAGTACAACCTCCTTCTCCCTCCTCCTTCAGTCTTTTTGTCTTTTTGTTCCTTTCCTATCCCTATAGGACGTGTTTTCTTCGAACTATTATTTTTCTTTTATGGCTTACCTGGGGATTTGTTCCTCTGGCCCCTTGGGAGTTCAGCCTCTCTCCCTTGGGATGTCTCTAGTACATGGTCCTGCGCAAAGCTGACCCCCTGGAGAAACCCCTTTAGTGACCAAGGGTCTTGTACTTGCAGTAACCTGAGGGGTAGCAAGACGTTGTACCTGGTTCCCTTATGCCAAGGTGACCCTTGGGATAGCAGTGGACAGGTGGATATGGACCTGGACATGTGCTGTGGCTTTTGGATTCACCTGGATGGCGTGGAGGTCTCCCTGCTGCCATCTTCCCTCTACCATTTTCCTCCGTCCTCCTTGGGGGGTAAGTCCCTGTTTTATTTCTCTTACCGCGCTGGAGGTCGCATCCATCTGGTTAACAGTTCGGCGTTTGCATTCATATGGGTTCGTGGGTGTTCACGTGTATGGGTCGTTCGCATCTTCTGTGCGAATGCTCGGTTTGTTCCTATGACTGGGGTCTCTCGGCATTCGCTTGTGCGCAAGCTCGGGTCGCCAGTTCGCACAGGCGCTCTTGTGCGTGATGACAAACGCTTATTTAAAGCGCCCTGGTTCAAATACTTGTGGGAATCCTTTTGGCGAATGCTGCATTGCTTTCTCCTCTCGTTTCATCTTGATTTCATTAAGGTAAATTACTTCTTATTTCTTAGTTTTTTCCCTTCTTAAAATGGTATCCCTCTTTGTGTCAGTTTGTTCTGAATTGCAATTTGAGATTGTTTCTTGACTTTCGGTTCTGCAGATGGATATGGAAGTTTAAAATTCCTCAAACTCTGATTCTTCCTCACCACACAAAAGGTCACAACCTAAGGCATATAGGTAAGCCATGTTCTTTTCGGTTTGTTTAGGTACTGGTACTTAAAAGAGTGCAGATCACTAATACACTGTTCCGTTTCTGTTTTTCCACAGTTCTAGAAGTACTAGAACTTCAGTGTCCTCCAAACTGAAGTCGCCCAAAAGGACACAATGTGAATCCTGTAATAACAGAGCCCTGGAGGGGAAACACCTCTGTTTTTCTTGCCTATCAGTGGCTGCAGGCCCATCTCAAAGGCAGTCCTCCATCCAACCTGCGCCTGACATAATGCAATATATTTCACAAGCAGTCGCTGTGGGTATTAAAGAAGCTGGGAAGCCCCACAAAAGGCCAAGTTGTTCGGAACCTTCGGAGTGTTCTCCAGATGTCTTTGATGTGGAGTGTATGGATATGGAACCCCTTAGAGACCTGGGCTCTTCTTCAGAGGATGATGTGCTTCCAGCTCCAGACTTCCTGGAACCTGCAGAGGTTGATCACTTGATATCTAGAGTCCGCAAGACTCTCAGTTTGAAGGAATCTTCTAAGGAGGAACCTTCCACCTCCAGTCGCCTCTTCTCTGACCTCAGCAGAAAGACTACTTTCCCAGTCCATGAAACTATAAAAAAAAAACTCATTAAGGAGGAGTGGTCCAGATCGGACAGGAAATCCTCTGCAAAAGGAAAATTGAGACATGGGACTCTGCTCTCAAGGTCGATGCAGCCGTGGTTAGATTGGCCAAACGTACCACTTTACCTGTTAATGATGCGGGATCCTTCAAAGGACAGAAAGATGGATTTCAGTCTTTCCAAAGCATATGTGGCTTCAGGTACTGGCCTACACCCAGCAGTGGCCCTTATGTCAGTATCCAGGGTGCTAAAGGTATGGATGGAGAATTTGGAGGAGGACATTAAGAATGGCAGGAGCCATCCCTCCATACTGGACAGCCTGAAAGATATGAAATTGGCTGTTGACTTCTCGTCTGAGGCTGCAGTGGATCTGGTGAGGTCCTTAGCCAGAAATATGGCTCTCTCAGTTTCGGCCAGGAGAGCACTATGGCTCAGATCATGGTCTACTGATGCTTCCTCCAAAGGCAGCTTTTGGAGCTCGCCTGCTCCAATTCCGTATGGCATGGGGGGAATCGGTAACCGACAATTGGGTTCTAGATATCATCTGGAGAGGATATTTTCTAG